CGCAATTTTTTGAAGTTTGTTGTAATTTTAATGCAAAAACTATAGGATAATCATAACAAACCTTTCCCAATTTATCAAACCAAAACTTGAAACAAAATAACACGCGAAAAATTACAATTATTGCCAAATACGTTTTTTCACTTTAGCTTGTAATACGTGAGAGTTCTTAACTCAACATCACTGATAAAAAAAAAAAAAAAGAAAATGATAATAATAACCATCATCAGTAAATCATGGAACAAAAAAAAAAATCAGCTCTAAAACACCCTAACCAAGTGTCAAAGTTTGATTGGTATGTAGGGAAAAAAAAATCGAAAAGCGCATGCTTGCACCGATAAATCGTCATCCATCAACTCGACTGAGAAAACCTCGTTCCACAGTATCAAACAACAACCGACGTTTCTCCCAAGACGTCATAATTCTTCATGCGCACCACCTCCCGTTCGCTCCTAATTGCCGCATCAGCATCAGAGGACCGCCTACAGAGGGTTGATACATAAAGTATAGTATGGGTTCACACACACCAGCGAGCGCGTTTCGATTGAAAAACCGAGCGATCGATCGCGGGGATGGTACCGATTATTCCTACGGGACTCCCGGTACTTCTCTTTCTTGCCGTCATACGGCACACGTAGCGGAAAAAAGCACCCCCCCCCCTGCCCCAGCCAATTACAGGTGCGCGACTTGCAAGGCCGAGCTGCCCAACGCGTTAGTATATTATACACACACGCACGTACAGCCATGTATAGTTCTCGGAAAAATCGGCACCTCTTGCACGCGACCGGTATTCTCTTCTTCGCCGATCTCCAAGGGGGACCGCACGTGCTCCCCCCATGCTCCCTCGGCTTCTCTTTGAGGGGAACTGGCGATGGTGGCTGTTTACGCATTCGGGAGGTGCACGGGGGGGAAAAAGAAAAACAAACAGAAAAAGAGTCGCGCGCGCGCTTGCACACTCGCCGTCCGCGAATTTGATATTCGCTGGTCATCGTCGTCTTGGAGACGTGAGCATGTGTGCCCCTCCCCCTTTCCCCTGCCTTGGGAGTAGGTGTGTGTTATTGTAGTCTTTGACGTTAACGTTGGTTTGATAGCGCGTCTCTTTTATTGTTGCTCGGAGAAGTCGGTGGTTTTGGCGATTATTTGTGTTTTTACGTACGGGCGTGGAAGCCACAGGTGGAGATAACGATGGTCAACCCGGAGGAAGTGGACGGTCGCGGGTGTGTGGTTGGTCGGATTTCCGAGTCCGGCCGATGCGCTGCGACGACTCAAGTACGTCCATTCGTTAAAATTGCTGTAGCGTATTGGGGTTATGGATAACATTTTAATCAATATAAGTGCTTTTTTTTTTTTTTTTTTTTTGCATTTTTGATTCCAATGTTTGTGAAAGTGTACGAGTCAAAGGAAACCAAATAGGGTTTGTCGACAGAGCAATTTTTTTGCATTGGAAATTTTTCGCGTTATAGTGTTTGCGCTGGAAAACTATTTAGTTAGTCCGACACTACAATTTGATCGAGAAACGAATAATTAAATTTATAGGTTGGCCCAACTGAACGAAATTCGTAAGTACTGTTGTTAATTTTTCGGTAAACGAAGCAACGATAGTAATCGGTACATGGAACTATTCTAAACATTAAACTTTTTTAAACTACGTTTTTTTTTAATTTCCAATTTAAAGTCAACTAGTTACTTCTTCCCGTGTATAAAATATCAAACGGAAACTTGTGGTTGACAGACAAATGATGTGGATAATGTGATTGACCGCAAATCAAATAACAAAACCTTTCGACCTATCTTTTCTAAGCTGGTATAAGCAAGTTTTTTTTCAAATTAGTGAGATCGTATTATTCATAAAATACACGACATCGATGCATCGTTTCATGAAAAAATATCCTAATTAGGTAAAAAAAGTGACGAGAAAAGCCCTAGTAATTTCAAGTCCATTTTTGTTCCACTTGCCACATTCGCATGTCCCAACCGGCACCTTTATCGTTACAAAACACTTTCTCCTAATAAATATACTTGAAGTACTCGAATGGAAAGCTCCTAAACCGATCGCAGCCTCTCGACAAATGGAGCCCCAACAAACGCAGTACATATACCAAACTTCATTTACGCCTTAGTTTCCATTGGCAGCTCGTTAATACATCAGTGAGCCGATATTTGAAACTCGATAGCGCATACCCCAACACCCGCACTTTATCAAAATATAAGCAAACCATCCTCCTTGGGTTGACTTTGCGCCAAAGGTTTCCAAAGGACTCGGAGTGGCCCCTTCGTATACGTAACGTACACCCCGAAGATAACTCTTATCTCCCGAGGAAAAATATTTCGAGACGCAAGACGCGCTTTCTCGTGTCAACTGCACCGCGATAAGCCACGCGTCATCGCATCCAAGCGTACGACTATAAATACACAAGTACAAAGACACACGCGCGCTCGGGAAGAGAGACGATAAAAAGTGAGCCGAGGAGGAAGACAAAGGACGAAGGAGGAGAGCAAACGAGAGAGCAGAGCTCACGAGTCGTAAACGAGTGGATATTATTATGTACACACACGGACGAACAAAAGCGAGAGAGCGCTAAGGGCATTACCCCAAAGGGGGGAGGGGCTGCTCATGTGCCCTTGCCCTCGCGTGCACTCACTATACACATATGCGTGTGTTACGTTCGCAGTGAGTTGTTATTATTATCCTTATCGCCGTGCGTGCAGCTCGAAAGTTTCCCACAGGAGTGTGCAGTGCGCGGCGGCCCACTTTTGACGCGTGCTCCTTACGCGCCCATTCGCTGACTCCCTTTTGACTTACCCTTCCGTGCATGCGCAGGGGTAAGTGCGTGGGATAACTTGACCCTTTGGGGAATGCGAACAAAGTGTGCTGTGATCCAACAACTTTTTTCCGTCTTGTTGTAAATTGGAATATTAGAGTTGTTGCAATGGCTAACCTCGTTGATCGATGTACAACTGATGGGGAAACTTTTTTTTTTTTCATTGGAGAATGTTTATTTTTTCATGGTACAACTCTCAAGCGATTCTTCACTTTTTTCGATCGATGAAAGCACCATTACGCCCTTGGAGTTGTTTAAAGATGTTTTCGAGAGAATTTTTTTGTTATTAAACGTCATCGATGAATTCTCATCAATGTCGACGACTGTTTGTATGATTTGAAAGAAAATATCTCGTTTTTTTTCAAACATTTAGTTAAAAAACATGATTGAAAATCGCGTTAAACGCTCGAAGCAAGAAAAGCACATCGAATTACAAAGAGTCGTGAAAAAGATGTAGCTTTTATCACCATACATCAGAAAAGCTTCGTAAAATCCAATGACTGATCGCATTAGAGCTTCATTCTGTTAAATGTAACGTAGTTTTAACATTAATTTGTACCGCCGGAAAAAAGCTCCCGATCGCCCGAGCTACCTGCACCGTCTCCCATGTCAAAGCAATTAATCGGCGTTTCCTTCGAGTCTCGGCCCGAGAACGAAATTAATCTCCCACCATAACGCGCGCATCAACTATGTGCGCACGCAATCGCAATAATCCCGCCATCAGGAATCACAGCCACCGCGTTCGCTTCATAATCGCCATTTGAACACGGTAGCCCCGAGCTATATACACATCTACCTATACGTACGCTTCGAAACCAGGAGGTGGCGAGGGGGGAGAGGAACGCCGCTGATGGGGTTCGAAGGGGAGCCACGGGGTCAGGACGTTTCCCACGCTTTGCGTTTTCATGTGCAGGCCGGCTAACTATGTAATAACCGGGCACACACATCATATACCGCGGGCGTCGGAACAACCCTCGCGTGCGTGCACGTATACGCGACACGTGACTGCCACCCTTCATCGATTTGGGGACGCACGGTCCCTCTTTGTGAAGGGGGTCAGCGGGGGAGGGGGGGGGGTGTCGCGTTGGCTGTATTGCTGTTGGCTTCCTCGCACGGATGATGAAATATACATGATGGCGTGGAGAAAACAGAGGCGGAGGCTTAAAATGGAAGGACGCTCGCTCACCGGAACGTGACGCGTATATTTTTAGATCACGTATGTGTGTGTGTTTGTTCGCCCCACGAGGACTCGATAATACCACAGCGTCGTGCATGCATCACGTACATTATAATGTCCCGTCTTGGCGAATTTTTTGCCATGGCCGATCTTTTTTTCTTTACGTTGTTGCACATGTCTTTGAGGGTTCGCACATGCGCGAGCTTAGGATAAACAGGGCTTCTTTGTGTATATTTTGACATTTTTTGGTACAGGTGTGGGCGGATTTTTGGGTTTATTGTTCGTTTTCAGAGTTCTTGCGTTTAAACGGGGCGGAATCTTTGGCTTACCAGTGCAACCGAGCGAAGTATAAGGATCATTAGCTTTGCTACTCCAATTGATTGATGTGGAGTTCTCGGAAGATGTTTGATTTCGAGTTGTATTTTTTTTCCAACCGCATATGTGGAGTAGTTAAAATGCTGAATGTGTACACTGAAACGTATCTCTTGTGCTACGTGGGATGTAAAAAACGAAAATTTATCTTGCCGATCGCACTCTTAGCCTACAAAGTATGGTGGGTTTACAAGTTACCGCTTAGAAGATATAATGGTTAAACAAATTTCATACAAGATTTTTAGGTTCGTTTCTGTACAGTACAACAGTTTATAGCGAGGTTTATAGGACAACAGTGTCCGAACTGCAAGCTCCATGTTCTATTAACAATATAAAGGTGATTACAACAGTCATTATTATTTCAATTTAAAATTCATTTTCATTCCACGAATCTTTTGTTTTTGTTTTTTTTTTTAACAAGAAGATAAACTAATTTGGCTCGTGTGGCCCCAATTTTATTAAATGAGTAATTACAACTAATAATCGGTCACTTTTTTCTCTTATAGGCCTCCGTTATATTTTCAATTGGGTGTGCACGTTAATTTTTATTGAAAATGTAATCGTTTAGTGTCTGAATAATTACTCCACTTAGTATATCATTCGACCAGTGACAAGTGAGTCGTAACACTCACAAACTCTCGCGTACCTGGTCAGCGAAACGTTGCTGAGTTAAACTAAGAAACACAAATACTCGAGGTGTTATTATTTCTTGAATCTTACCCCCAACGGATCACCGATCACCTTACTTCTCAACAACTCCATGTGGGTATTATATCGGAAAAATCAGCCAAATGACTGGCTATTAGAACATGACCGAGTACTGGGACATCGACCTAGTTACTCTATAATTTGATTAGTAGACGCATTGGCCATCAATGGAATTGATATCGTACGTCAATATGTTTTTGTTAACGTATAGTGTACACTTGAGAGCACTGCCTTGTGCGAGGAGTCCCCACACGAGATTTTGCTTTGTGCTCTCGGTCGGCTCATGCACGAGAGACAAGAAGATAAATTGGTCCTGCACTATAAAGAATTATGTAGCTCGACATTAGAAGATGCGATGAGAAAACTCAACGTTACGAGCTAAAATGAGATGTCTCTGTATTTTTGGTGTTAAAAACGACATTACATAACGCTGGAGTGTGAAATTTACCGTTTAGTCAATTAACTTTATTTTGTTCCCTTTCAACCTCATCATATCAGTTAAACCCATTCTTTGGCATATCGTTGATCGAGTTACTTTCTTGTTTCTTTATTTTGACTGATCACAGATCAATGAGTACATTGTTCACGAAGCTTTTTTTGACATTAACCCTACAGAAAATGTTATATTTCATTCTCACAATCAGTTACAAATATTTCTTGTAACATGGCCTCGGGTAAACACCATCAAGCAACAACAACAACAACAACCACACCGATAATTTCAGTTCCTCCCCCCGAAAAGCGATTAAGAATTACAACGAGACCAGCCCATTCTCCTAGAAGAGACTCCCCCGCCATAAATTAGCCCACAAACCAGTAGAGGGAGGCCCGAACTACCCGTTCCCCCCGAAATTCGGAAACGTCCCAACTAAGCGTCACAGCCCCGAGCGGCATCGAGAAACCTCCAACGACAGCCTACATACGCCCGAAAAACGCTCCCACTCGAAAGGAAAGGGGGCAAAGGAAGAAAAAAAAAAAAAAAAATCTCCGAAAGATCTCGGCTCACGGACGCGCAAATAAATAAAAATTCCCGAGCCACGCCTCGCCCGAGGGACTCGAACGATTAGTAAGTAGAATCATAAAGAGCCCGCAGAAGAGAGAGACGGGTATACACGTTTTAAAGCCCCTCGAGGGCACTCAGCGTCGCGGAGGCGAGCGATATTTTCGCGCTCCACCGAAAAGGCCAGGCCCCCGCTCTCCCTCGGCAATTTGAGAGATATGCGCTCTTCTCCTCGGTCGGTCGCGTATACACGTGTATAATCGTCGTCGGCGGCGTCGGTGGAAGCGTAAGGACCACGTGAGGGACGCAAATTGCCTTTTGATGAGCGAGCACGGCCTCATAGCCTCCTTCCCTATGCGCCACAATGCACCCAGACTCCTGTTGCGTTTGTATATTATAATACACCTACCAAGTGTGCGTGGGGACAACCTGTAACATGTTACGTTGTGCCGAGGGGGAGGGTTTTTCGGCCGGGGCTATCCCACTGGGGCCTCTATAGTGGTGGTGGAGGACGTAGCCTCAAGCGCGTTCCTCGAATACCAGACGCGCGAGGATGAGTATATGGGACCCCGCACTTTTCTGCACGCAAACGCCGGAGGAGGAGGAGAAGTATCTGGGAGCTTTTCTCTCTCTCTCTCTCTCTCTTGCGCTTCGGGAGGAATAACAAGGTGTGGGTTATACAAATGACGTGGGCTTTCGTCGAGGAATTTTCGGCGCGTCGATTACATATGCGGATGGCCCACATGCGTGCATATATCCGTACGAATTTTGGCCGTGTGTCACATATATGTGCGCAAGGGGGTTGTTGGCGCAGTTTTCGAGGGCTTGGGAGTCCCTTTGCTCTTGTTTGGGGGCTCTTTTTTTCGAGCCGTGGTTGTTTGGCATGCACATTTTTCTGTAATTACATGCAATTGTCTCGCGAGAGGGCCTCGAATGTATATGCTCGGTTCTACTTGGTTTGGCTTGCGGGTGTCGTGAGGTTGGCATTGATTTTTTCAGATGTATGCCAGGCAAGGCTAGTTTTAATTTATACGTCAGGACTTTCAGTGAGCAACTGTGCCCACGTTTTTGGTCAAGTGTATTCTTTGATACGCAGTGGTGATTTGGTCTGACCATTTCTCTGGCTTACTGTTTTTTGCAGGTCATTTTTTCGACGATCCGTGTATTTCAAATTTTCTAACTAGACAAACTTTTTTTACGTTTTTCTTTTTAATTTTGATTGGTACAGTTCATATTCGCCAAACCTGAATCTTCTGACTAAATTTAAATGCCTCATACCGAGTATCCAAATGGCAGTGAGAATGCATCGATCAAAAGTTTTAGGTCTTTTATAAGAGGGTATAGAGCCATTGTATAAGAAAGTTTACATTCGCGCAAGACGAAACAAATTATTTTCATGCCTTAAAACTTATCGAAAGAAAGCTTTTCAAAAAATACGGAGAATCCGATTTTTTTTGCTCTAATTAAAAAAGTTGAAGCCTTTGGTGTTCAGTGTTAAAAAAACCTTTAATTTTATGCAAATTTAATCCAAATTACATAAAACAGTGTATTATTTGGTACAATAATAATGTTTCATGTAGAAATAATACAAATTTTACGTAAAAATAAATGTTAACTTCATTACATTTAATTGATTTAAAAAGAAAATGTATGCACAAGTACAAAAAAAATGTAATTTAATGTGTAATAGGATATCATAGAAACATTGAAAAATTCACTTATCCATATCCTGAAAAGGAATGTAAATGTTCATAAAATTTCAGTAAGAAGTAGACAAAACGTAAGGTTTTGCATTAAATTTTATAAAAAAAAAAAAAAAACTTAAACTATTTACTTAACTCCCCGGCCCTAAGTTATCTGTTTTTCTCCTGTCGTTTACCCTCTCCTTCTTCATCTCCTGTCAAGGGTCCAAGTCAGGAAGGGCTGCAGACAAACAGCTATATATGCTATGGTATACGTAACACCTTTCACTGAGAGAAAAAAATAATAAAAGTTATAGATAAATTCGAGAAAAAATTAACATTCTGCTCAGTAAATCGGATGCAAGCTGACGAAAAAAGGAAAAAATTATTATTTTAACCAGTGACGATTATTGTTTTAGTAATAAAAATTATAGTTAAAACAGCAAAAATTACTATGCTGGAATAGTAAACCTTAAAATGATCGGTTGATAAATTTTACTTTCCCGCATATAAATTTTCACGGTTCTTACCATAATTTTTACTTTTCAAACCACAATTTTAACTGTTTAAACGATAATTTTTACTATTAAAAATAATAACTTTTTCCTTTTTTGCCACCTTGTACTCGATTTACTGTACGAAATGGTAATTTTTCTTGGAATTTCTCTATAATTTTTATTATTTTTTTTTCTCTCAGCGTACACGTTTTGTTCTAAGCAGAAATTTGTAGATCCAGAAAATGTTTAAAACTTAACGAAAAACACTACTTATAAAATTATTTTTCCGCCCTCGGGTGGCTTAGGTTAACTCGTTCGAAAAGTCTCCTTTACGAACCTCGTTACGGACTTCGCCTTCGGCTCGGGCCGCAAACCTCTCGGTTCGCAAACAAAGACTTTTCAAACTCGTAGGAAAACTACTACTTTCATTTTTTTTGACAAATTTAATTCTTATACCCAAAGCCTCTGTGTGAAAAAAAAGAATTTGGGATGTGCAAAAAAATTCTGTTTCTATGACACCCGCAACCCACGTGAAAAAAAAAATGCATATACCAAAATTAATATATTTTCTCCATATTTTATCGTATTCCACTTCTCCACAGGCCACTCCGGAAATTCGCCAGAGCGGCAGGGCTGAGAACGAGGCAGCGAATTACTTGAGCGAACGGCGAGTTGGCGAGTTCTTTAACTTCCTCATGGGTCATCTAGTGGCCGAACGACCCGAAGACCCGATTTGCTACCTGCACGATCTCCTCGATAAATGCCTACTCTTCAGGGACGGTCTCGTCGAGCCACCTCTGCTCTTTGCACCACGGTAAACATCATATACGTTTGTTTGTATACACACCCTTTACGGTATTTTACACACTGTAACTCCGTGGGTTGACTATTTCATTATTTTTTTTATCTTCGTTTGTGAAGTTTTTTTTATACTCGAGAGTACTACTTGAGCTCGTTGCCGGCGTATCTCAAAGAAGTGAACGGATGCAAGAAGGGTTATCGGAAGGTTCGTATGTTAAGCATTGCTTTATGTCTTTGTATGCGATTGCGCACACACGTTTGTTTGTGTGTGACATAGAGAGAGAGGGTTAGATGAGGGGAAGGGGGGGAACAAAGAAAACGGGAAAAGAGTATAGATACATACACTAGCAAACGGTGAAAATCTTTACACCTCTATAACGCGTTTAATGATGATTCGCACGGTTGTGTACGTTTGGAAAGTGTGTACCTTTGAGGACTCGATTTTTGTTGTGTAGGCAGGAACTTGAGTTTTTTTTTCTTCATTTTGCGAAGAATTTTTTAAATCCCCCAGTTTTTGTATAAATGTATGTACAAATGTATTTACACGTAAAACGAAAAATATTTAACTATTAACTATACTTGTGGAATCTTCATCGGGAGAAATTCACAAACGCGATATTCTTATCGAGAATAATTTTTTCAGGGCAGAAAAAACATTAGTAATTATTGTATTATTAGTTACATTACAGAAAAGAAAAGATTCCTTACTTTCAGAACGAAATATAACTTTTCCAGTGTTTCAGTTACCAGTATAAACATTTGTCACAAATTATTTTTCTCTTTTTTATTCTTAAAAATGGATTACATAAATTAAATAAGTACTTTAGTTGTCAACTAATGATTTCTTTAATGTTACACATTAATTACAAGAAAAGATAAATTTAATTTAAATTTTTAATTACAGAAGATTGTTTTTTGATGTATCGCTATCAAATGAAGCTAACTTATTTAATTTCAACAGATCAAAGTGTACGAGTCAAAATATTTCGTTGCAATCATTTGAGATACTTTTATACGGCAAACAAGTTCGTAGAATCGTCAGAGCTGTAATTCCGTGTCCCTTCTTAAAAAAAG